GTGGAATATTTTCCAGAATATTCAGAAAGAATTACAGCCGCGTTGTACTTGATTACGCCAAATTTTCTTGCAGGTCAACTACCCTTTCCGTGGATATGAAACCACCTGCTTCTAGACTTTGGAGACTGATACTAATTATACATATTGGGAAATTTTCACGACGGCCCCATACGCGCATAGAAAATTCTTGGAGGCGCTAAACACTTGCGTCACTCTTGAGCCCGAGTTAAACTTGAGATACAGCATACGAAGAATGTTATATTGGAATGGGCGATGATACAATTTGCCACAGCATAAGAGCAATGAAGTATAGGATGACGCAGAAAACTTGTCCCTTTGCCGTGGATAACATCATCCCAGTCGTATAAAGGAGGGTATGCTCCCTGATATAAATTGTATTGAGCATCAAACCTGGCTGAGTGCCTCTACCAGAATCATCCTGTCGCGTCTATATGCTACTAGCCCTCACATCATCCTGCTGCAGTCAACAACCGTGGATTTATTCTACCCAGCCGGGATGAATCACATTCGCTTCTACCAGCCTAAAATCTTCACCTCGCGCACAGATGAAACTTCTATGCCTTCTCATGTCCACTCTGAGACAGAAAATAACAAGAAAGACTCGAAAGCCCCCCAGTTACCGACTACAATGCATGGTAACCATCCCCTTCCCAGAAAGCCCCCACCTACATCTCCAGCCAATGAGGGTTCTGTCTCATTACGAGGCAAACCTGAAGATATATCTCCAGGTGTAAAGGCACTCCTGGCTTCCACATCAGAAAGGGCAGAGGTCGCGCACCTGGATACGGATGCACAACAGATAAATACTGTACGAGAAGAACAAGGCGAACACATTTCTACACGCAATAAAAGTGGTAATAGCAAATGTGCACCCAGTTCTTCAACCGTTGAACCACAAGCATCCCATTCGGGATATTCCAATTTCAGGTCCACGAGCAAGGCAGTGGAGGCAAAATCCGCACCACTAATCTTAGCCTCCGGTGATCAACAACCCGGGAGTCCGAGTAAACTTGGATCGTCCAATCTGGAAGACTGTAAGATAATCCACATTAAACCTATTTTCGCTCTGGTCCAAGAAAACTGAAGATGTTTATTGACCCGAGATCCCAGGTTGCAACCGATCTTGCAGCATGGATCTGACAAACTCCCCTTGTTGTTTAAATGGTCAAGGTACAAAACATATGTCACCGACGTCAGAGCACTCTGATACGTGTTTGGCATCTGAACGACCAAGGGCCGACATGCACTTCCTGGAGAACCAAGCAAAAAGCACTGAAATCTCGGGCCGACCCAGAAGAACAACTGTTGAAGTGGTAGTGCCCTCTCGACGCCGCCGTTCTCTGATGCAAGCAAATTTAGCAGAATCTGGCTCAGACAATGATGACCCTGGCGACACAGATTTTCGGACAGAGTCCAGCGAATCGGGAGAGGACCTCGCACCGTTAACCAATCCACGCAAGCGTGTTTGTGGGATGCGTCCCCGCAAACGCAGGCACATCAGACATCTGACCAGCTCTTCAAGGGGGATGTCGAACCCTGCAGCGTCTCATTCAACAGAGTCTACAGGGCGCTATCCACAACGTATCTCGCCAGTCTTTACTGCCACGCCTACTACCCGCACTTGCTCTTCATGTGATTGCACATCACAATCTATCTCTCGGCATAGCTCGGGTAGTTGGTCCGACCTTCTAAGCCCAGATACCTGCTCTCGGGGAAGGGTACCGGTGTGTGGCTATCTCGAGATACTGCCGGGAAATTGCAATGATACCCTTACATATCGCCCTTCTTCACTGTGCTCAGGATGCAGGAGACAAGATCGTCATCATCCTGAATTTGACGAATCTCACGTAAGTGCGGATATGGCTAGTCCCTCTAGCCTTGACCTGGGTTACCCAAGAACAGGAGGAAGATTCACAAAGGTGGAAGATCAGCTCATTGTCATACTGAAAAACTATGGGTTATCTTGGAAGGAAATGGAGCCCTTTTTCCCGCAACGAAAGTCAACAGCATTGCAAAGCCGTTGGTTCCGGCAGCTACGGACGGGATGAAAGGCTGAAAATAATGATCATCATTGAAGAATCTGGTACGTACCCTTGCTCGGACTACATCAGATCTTATCATCATTCTCGAAGACCATAAGTATACTTCTTGTGGCGTAATTCATGAGATATTCTAACATATTGTAGTATTGCCTCCAAAAAGCTGAAGCAGCGGTCTTCGCCGTGAAAGGATACAAGTCTCATATAGATGCTACTTTTGTCTGACAGAATCTGTCAGTAAAGGAGACTTTATAAAATTGGAATAGAGGGTGTATGGAAATACCGTGGAAATGAGGCATGGTACGAAAAGCAGCACTTACTGGTTGTGACGCAGCATGCAGGCATAATACTCGAGCTCGATATATGGAGCTGATATAGTTTCAGAAATCTCTAAAAAAAACGTTCCAAGGCTCTAGCTCTCAGCTACCCACGCTAACACACTAAATCACTGAGTTAAAATATGATATAATGTTGAGGCGCGAGATTACCAGTAAGGCAAAGCAACGAAACAATCAAAAACGAATGCGAATTACCGCAAAAGAGTGTGTTGAATTGTCGCTATCTAGGTGCTCTCGCAGAGCAAGAAAGGGGGTGTTGTACGTGGTCGGTCTGGGCGGTCTGGGCGCTAGGCACGTGACTAAGCCTACTTTGGCAGATGCCTCAACATATAATGCAATGAAGGGAAAGCTAGAAGTTAGATTGAGCTTCTGGGAACCTGTTAGTAAAAGTGAGAGGATGTTCTCGTGTAGCATGCTACACAGGAAGTTCTGGTGAAAGCAAGAATAAGTGTGATTATGACATGGCACCATACGAAGAATGTTGCAGCGTTCTAATAGGTACACCTAGCCAAATACAGAAGGTGCGGTAACTTGACATTAGGCGCCGGGAATGCCATGATATTGTCCTACACACTTAGTCGGACAATTCATATTCATCAGGGCGCTGCCGTTTTCAGCAACCGTATCCTTCGAGTTTAGTACCCATCCGCTGGCTTCCTGTTGTGGATTAGTATCATTTCTCTTAGACTTACTAGACCACGCCATGCCTGAATGGGAACTACTACCCGGGTCCGTCTTCACGGCTCTCTAGCAACTATATAAAACCGCAAGTACATTGCTTAACAACTTCTCCCTTATACATCTGATATTACACTTAAAGCTCAGCTTGGTTGCGGCTATTTGCCCCGTTTTGATGCTATTACTCCGGGCCTGGC